AGAGCTTTGGTTACAAGATAGAAAATATGATCTCATCATGAAAAGAGTCAATGTAATCTGTATAATATTTGAGTTTATCAGTTAAATTTTGTTTATCTGAGCAATGATACAAAATGAAGTTATATACTAATAATACTTTTACTCATTTAAATTAATATTAATTCAGTGTTTTAGTCATTATAAAATACAGAAAATTGACATAATTAAAATAGACAAGAATTGAGTATTGACTTCTTTTCAAATAATGATATCAATTCTTGAAATATAAAATAATTGTAAGAAGTTTCTTATCATAAATATCATATTATATTTCTACATCTAGGAGTTTATGAAACTAGAATACAATTGAATATCATTAATTATTATTTTATTTTTAAAAGATAATAATATTTACTATTACTGTAGAAATATCAGATTCAATCTGAGTTTTTCAACTTGAGTTAAAATTAGTAAGTAGAGAAGCTCATGTGAAGTGTTCTTTTAGATTGTCAAAAATATATTATATGTTTTTTATTTATATAAACTGTGATTTTCACTCTTTCATTTTTAGAATCTTTATGATATTAAAGAGAAACTCTGTGATTTTAAAGTAGTTTTTGATGAAGTAGTGATAGAAGTTTATAAATTTTAAGAAAATCTGAATTTTTTTAATATTAGTTAATACTAATCATTCTGTAATAATTGTTATTTAATTTGATTTCATTTCAACACTCTAAGATTCAATAATAAATCTTAAAAAGAAGGTTTTATTTTTGATGAAGTTACATTTAATATACTTTGCAAATAGATTCACATAGTATAGTTGTTCAAGTATTTTTTGCATATACATCTTATACTCATTTATTGAGTTTAAATAGATAAAAATATTATTTAGATAAATCACACAATATATATTAAGAAGATCTATTAAGATATAATTTATATAAACTTGAAAAGTAACAGAGATATTTATAAACTTAAAAGCTTGATATTTAGCTTATAAGAATTGACATTTAGTCTAAAATTATAAACTGTGAAGCTTTTGAATAGTACTTTTAAACTTCTGATAAAAAATAGTAAAAAAAGCTTTTATAATAAAGATTAGAATAATAAAGAAGAATAAAAAATTAATAAAAGTTTTTGAATATATAATATAATTACAATTATTTAGAAGTTCAATCAAATATAGATGTAGATATAAATATGAATAAAAATATAAATATAGATACAAAGTCTATATATTTAATCTTTAGAACTTTATTGAGAAAAAGAAATTTAATATTATATCATGACTCAACTACAGTCAAAATAATAATATAATAAATAGCTTTAATTAATTTATTTAACTAAATATCCATGATGAGAATACTAAACTAAGAATTAAAATATAAAATAAACAAGTAACTAAATATATAGAGATAGTGAAAAATTAGAATAGATCAATCTTTAAAGTAGAAATAATTGAGAATTAAATATATCAACTTTCAAAATATAGCAGAGTAAATTAATCTTAATTTATATACAAGCAACTATACTATAATAGTAGTTAAAGAAGTTATTATAATAAAGATAGGAATAATAAAGAAGAATAAAAAATTAATAAAAATTTTTAAATATTCAGTATAATTATAATTACTGAAAATCTCAATCAGATATAAATATATATATAGATATAGATATTGTCATAACTTCAATCTAAATACAAATAAACAGATATTCAATTATCAACTAGATAAACTATCTGAGCAAATACTGAGATAATTTTTAAAAGATGAGTTTGAGAAAGACTCTATTTATATAGTTCTTTTTTTAATATAGTTGCTATGTGATTACCATATTTATATGTTATTTGTATGTGAGATAATTGTGAGGTTGATTGCTATGCTGATACCTAAACAGTTTGTGATTATTATGTTTAAACAGTTATGATTATCATTCATCTCAGTTTTATGCTATTGAGAAGGCTACAGAGCTCATTCTACACTATCACAGATATAAATATAAATATAATATTTATCTACTCAATCTCTATAACTCTTTTGATAAAAAAAAGTTTAATATTATTTTATAACTTAATTTGAAGTTAAAATAAAAAGGTTTTAATTTATCTATCTAATTAGACAGCTGTAATAAAAATATTAAACTGAGAATTAAAATATAAAATAAATAAAAAGTTAAATATAAAAAAAAAATTAAAATTAAAATAAATTAATCTTTAAAATAAAGTAGATTAATTTTAATTTATATATAAACATCTACACTATAACAGTATATATTTAATTTTAATTTTTCTCTATTTTTAACTATATTTAACTAGTTTTTATTTTAAGTTTATAATTTATAAAAATTAGATATAAAGATTTTATATAATATATTTTTTTAATAGATATTTTTCTATTATATTTAAATTTATTTAAATATAAATAATATAAAAAATATTTAATAAAAGTAAAAAAAATTAAAAAAATAAAATTTGTATAAATAATAACTAGATAAAATCTATTAATAATTAATAGAATTATTTTTAAAAAATTATTTTTTTTATAATAAAAACTTTGATAATTTTTATTATTTAAAAAAATTATATTTTTATTAATTATATTTTTAATTTTTATTTAAATTTTATAAAAATTAAATATTTAATTAAATTTAAAAATATTATTATTTATTTTTAAATATTTATTTTAATAAAAAAATTAATAAGTTAATAAATATTTATTTTTTTTATTTATAATTTTTATAATAATTTTTTTTTAAATTATTATAAAAAGTTAAAAATCTTTTTATTATCTTTTTATTATTTTAATAATAAAATTATTTTAATTAAATTATAGTAATTTTAATATATTTTTAAAAAAATTATAATTAATTAATTAATTATTGTATTATATTATATTTAAATTTATAATATTTTGAAAAAATTTATTAATTACATAAATATATTAGTTTATCAAGCTAATAAATATATTATATAATATAAAATTCTATTTGATAATGAATTAGTTACATTTACTCACTGATAAATTAATCTCAAACTTTCAACAGGTCTTCAATGTTCTTTATGATTACAAAAATCATTTCTTCATTTGCAGCCTCAATTCAGCTAGAAAAGAGGCCTTCAACGTTCAAATCGCATCTATTTTAACTGGATCCCCTTTGATAACTTCGGAATCGGGCATTTATTACTCTGGCCTGTTTTAATATTCTGATTTGATCTTGATGGCAATGAATAGAATCTGATATAACAAACCATGACCAGTTTATCTTCCACTTTTTCTTTTGTAAATGGCAACTCTCTACTCCGAGAAGTGGATACCCGAAGAGAGCAAAATCAACTACCGCTTTCTACATCCTGCACTGCCTGTACAAGTTGTTGTCTGTTACAATCCATCTGAAGGCGACATCAGAACACTTTCCAAGCTACAACATTCGATTGTATCCTCTGGATCTGTTGTTCGTTAGGGCCAGAATATTGCAATTCCAGATCGAGGCCGATTTTCCCAGAACAGGAATGTTCCTTGGTGCGATTAATTCTTTCAGACTGTTTTGGCAATTTTGACACAATGCCCACATCCGAGATTCAACGAGCGTCTCTTCTCGCGGGTCAGAATTGAAGAATGCGCCACGGTTGAAATGTCTTCTATATTTGTCTTTAAAACGTCTTTCTTTCTTCATTTATTCGTAATCAATTCGTTTTCTCCGCTTTTTCAGCAATCTGCTTTGTTCAGTCCTTCGAACTCTAAGTAATCCATTCATTATACCCACGACTCTTTGTTTGTTCCTATTTTCATCTCCTGTTTTTTCTTTCTCTTTAATATCTCTAGGAACTCTACCAAGATCCATAAGGAACCGTTATATATGATTGTGGGGTTTTTTTGAATTGGCAAACAATCCGATTCCTCCCCAATTGTTTTGAACGAAGACATTGAAGAAAGGAAAGGCGTCAAGGGTCCCGTTTTGTAGCGGACAGTGGGATTGTACTAGCACGGTAGAATGTTGATACCTGGAATTATTTTTGATGGGACGCAGGTTTTGTTATTATATATACATAATACAGTTCCCCAAGTCGTTGGCTTCAGGATTGACGCAGTTATCTCGCATGTCTACGTATAATGATCAAAACACTGGAATTACTGTCCTTCGAACCCCACACGCTGCCCTATATCGAATGCATTACCTTTATGTACCATGCAGGAAAAACGGATTTGACGGAGAACCCCTCGAAAGTCCTCTCCCGTTCCCAGTTCATTCAAAAGCAGAGAATCTCACACGCTTCTGACCATCTGATATCGCACTATAACGGTCACGCTATATATAGTATATAAGATAGAAACACACCAAAACCGAAATCAAAAAAACCATGTGTCGCCAACTCTACAATCAGCACTCTTGCGGCCACACATCATTTATTCGGACAAAAACTTGCGGGAAGAAGCAGTTCTGTCCGAGAATCGCAAGGGAAACGAACAACTTAAACTATATTTGTGAACGATGCGCTGCTACCATTCTAACGAACATGAAGAGAGACTTGAATAGCCGCACCAGTTACCCGTCGAGAAGTGGGAGCATGAGGGTCACGGGTAGTTCAAGGCGGAGATGAACATAGGTGACAATTCAAGAGGATGCTGTTTTCCTTTCCTTTCATTTTCCCTTCTCCTCAAATATTGGCATTTCTTGGGGGATGAATATGGGCCATTTTTTGAGAGATGATTGATGAGTTGTACCCACAATCTGCTGTGGTTGCAAAGGGCTTTCTTGGTTTGTGGTTGATGGGATAACAGAACCATGCATCATGTACAATTTATACTTTGCATAACCGCTGTAGAATAGGATAATACTAGAGAGAAGACCTATGAAACATTAGCATTTTGAATTAGATACTATGTATACACTTTAAGTTGGGCTTGGCCTCGTGCTTTGTTTAAGCAAGCCCCTGAATGAAATGAATGGGAGTTTCAACCTTCACACTTAACCGAATCCATTGCCAAACTATAAATATAATTCCTAGAACAAGCTGTTCCTCACATTGCGGCAATAGTTAAGAAGTCGGTGGGAACATTCTCAGCCTGCCCAATATACGGGACTCGAGACAGGCCATGGTGGTTGATGGGGCAAGTGGTGGAGACTTTGGTGTCCTCGGACTCCGGAATTTCTCTTGGAACACGTTTAATCCAAATTTTACCAACCAGGTTATCCAGATATCTTCGTATCCAAAACACCCACCCGATTCCCGAGGTGGACATTATAAGAAGGCTTGTAGGATGGCTGTTCTATGTTGATGCACCTGGATACGGCAAACGATGTATTTCCAAATCCAGAGCTGCAACTTAGAGCGAAAATGTCAGAAAAGACCCCACAGAGAAGATATTGGGTTCTCATGTAATATGCAATCCTGCTAAATGCAAGGAATGCTCATCGCTCCATCTAGCTTCAAGTAGTCAATGTCTGCAAGAGCTCGGTAAACGACACCTGCCAGGCAGCGGCCTAGAGATAGTTAGTGTGTGTCCATGCTGATTAGATTCGGTGAAGTAAGACCCAATGGAAATAACTATATCAAGGCGCGTCTCGGGATTAATGTTCATAGAGGATGGGGATATAACAATGCGAGCCTTGAATTCCAAATTAATTTGACATGGACTAAAAGTAGATCTTATTTCGAAAGACCAACCAATGGTTTGGAATATGAATATTCCATCTTCAGCACTGTGTGTTGTCCCGCTTTCCCCTTGTCATTGAGGAGGAGCAGATTAAGGATAAGAAGAAGGAAATACGACCACACGAATATCTCAGCCACAGTTGCGCTGACAGCTTTAGTTATGTGGCTTGCAGAGTCCAAAACCCGAAGGATTCGATCAAAGCCCAAGCTTCCAAGAGGCGTCCCCAACGGGGAGCAGGGGAATAGCCAAACAAAGGATGGACACGTTTGATGGCAGATGCGCATCGTAAAAATCAATCTATTTAACAATTGAACGCCAAACAGCAGCAACGACATAGGTGCCAAATTCCAATCTAACGCCAATAAAGCCCAGGACGAGTTTCAAGAGTTCAGGCAGAAGCATTTTTGGATGACCAACATCTAGAGCACCCGAACACGGACAGACAACGCATTGTGATTGACTGGTTGAATGGTACGCAAGCAGACGAGGCTTGTTTGTCCATATCTGGAATATGTCATGCATGCTGTAATTGCATGTCGGGTTCGGATGATGTTAGATCTAATTTCCGTATTCAGGGTTGCAAGCTTGGTCCAGCATAGCGGATGGTTCGATGCTCGCAAAAGGAACGCGTATTGTATGTACGGTATGCGCGGTATTGTTTCGAAATATATTACATGTACTTACCGTACAGTATTAAAATCAGGATTGCAGCTGGCGGTAACATTCAGCATTGGCTTTTAAAATCTCGATCTACAGTGTACTTGTGGTGATTAGTCGAAAGCTCAATTTTTGAAGCGGTGTTTGATGCATATCTCTGATAGAGGCTACTATGTGACATTCTAATATTTTAAAATCAAATGCCATGCCTCAAAGACCTCTGGTTATTTTACATTTTCTAAGGTATTCCGCCTGGTTGTCTTAGTTGAGGAGATCATCATGGCCAGGCATAAATGAATCGAAAACAATCGAGAAACATGAATATGGTTGTGCAGAAGTCTAGTTTCTGTTGAACTGTTGACTCTGAAGGTCATTATCAAATGAGAAGAAATCCACAGAAGAAGATCTTCTTTGTTTATATGCTGTTGAAACTGTTGAAACTTGGTCCTGATTCCTCCGGCTAAAATTGACACCACTCAGGAAATCAACCCACATCATTTGCAAATTTGAAATAACCAAAGAACTGAAGCAACCATTGTGACGTTAAGCTTTGGGGCAAAACACTGAGGGCCATACCGGGGCCAGCTGGGCTGCTATGAACGTGAAAAGTTCTTATATGAGTTAACGCAGCTCAAAACGCCTCTTCCAAGACACCCATCACCTTCTGTTTTTCTATCCCTATGGACGTTAAAAGTCAACTGCAAGCTTCAAATTTGCCCAGCACAAGATTGGAGGGTTGTAACATTTACAACCTGCCCTCCGCCGCACCAGGGAGCACCACACGACCTTTCTGGCGGCTTGGTATCAGGAACACATTTACCCGTCACTCCTTTCTCAACCCAAATGATTCCTTGAGGCAGAATGTCCCCAGCATTGCAGTCCGTGAGAATGAAGTGTCCAATGGCTTCCCATCCAAACGATTTTCCGCATGGTGACCTCAGTGCCGTTGGTCCCAGATCTCTCCAGTCCAGACACGGATCCCTACTTTGCAGCCAGACGTACCAATCGTACTTGTACTGGTCGTTTTTGCATGTCGTTGCCGTTCCGAAGTACATCGTTGGCACTGACTGCGTGTAAGCAGTTCCGGCTAGCAAAGGCAAGCTAAGAATGCTTGTGAAAAGTCTCGCGGCGAAGTTGATCTGCGCGAAGCGCATTGTGTTTGATGTATATTGAGCTGGTTATGTGTATCGCTCTGGCTGAGTACCTTACGGGGTGTCAACGTAGCTGAAATTATATCCCACGACACAAACAGTACGTACAAGTTAGAAGCAGTCAAGCCTATTATTCTTCTCATTCGAACCCGCTGGGCCCAAAGATGTCCAAGGCATGGGCGAAGGGAATCTGGTTTTTCTATCAGATAAGGAGACCACGGCATCCTTATATGCCTGCTCATTCCACCCATGAAAGAGTGAGAAATTATCACGAGGTTAAAATTCTAGGAAAGGCAGGCCATGGATTCTTCAAAACAAAGGCCTTCTCTCGCATATTTTCGCCGTTGAGACTTCTCGACCCTTGCCGGCGGCCAGGATACGATACGATAGCGCGGCGGCCAATGCGCCGCGATTCAAGCTCAACCACATTGCACATCATAGGTCCTTGGAAATGCCATCTGCTATGTAGTAGCTATCCTGACGAAATACATATGAGCACACAGAGGCATATGGCTAATTTGTGTGTGCTCTGTGCTGAGAATATGCTGAGGATTACATACCTGCAACTTCGGTTTGCAAAGGTATTTTCACAGGTTGTAAACGTTTACCTTCTTGTAGTGAGCGATCTCACCTAAGGATCTTTAGTACCAACAAGAAACTTGCATCAGAATAATACCACATGCCCCGATGAGCTAACTGTCAAGAAGCAGAAAATACAAATTTAAGCAAGGTGCATGGAGAGAGCAGCTTGACAGAAATAAGATAAATCGCTGTGTTCACTGCGGATTTCTGCTCTGTGTCACAGAATTTGAATTTGATTATAGATACCTTTTGACTTCGTTCCCACGATATCTGCGAAGTCTGTAACTCATACCAAACATCGCGCCGCATAGGATCGTAGTCTAGCATACCAGACTCAAATGCAACACGAATCAGGAGCCATATAAAGTCGTATTCCAACAAATTTCAAGGCCAATAGTAATTCCGGAACCAACTGCACTTTGGAGAAGTTCAAAACCAGGCCTGGATCAGGTATGATGTTTCTACCACAAAATAGACTGTTTAGAACAAGCATCCACTCGCATCACTTGTGGGTGCCGATACAAGATGTCGAAATGCAAAATTCATTCTTAGAACCATGGAGCGCTGCTGCTGCTAAATCAGGAGTAAGCACACGCTCTAAATAAGGGTCGTCAGGGACATGTAGACTGTCAACAGTGTCTTCACTCACGGAAGACTCGTGCAGAGAACATCAACAACGGTTTTGTTCCTCTCAATAATTTTGTTCGATGTTCTTCTGGCAGAGTTCGACAAACACAAAACTTTATCCTGTTCATTAACTGTTCTAGGTAAGCCGGGGTGGTTCGCCAGCTAATAGCCGAATCGTGGGGCATCAGAAGTGATGGATAAACGCCGACCGAAACTTGGTCATCAGATTAGTTACCAATCCTTATTTTTGCAAGAGGTGTTTTCAAAAATAAAAGGAAAATAAAAATAGCACAAGGGGGTGAATCATAAGAAATCGCAGCGAGTTTCATCGAATAAAACGAATGTACCCCTCTAGCCCTCCCTCCCTTGAATGTATGTAAGTCGTCATTCTGCGCTGCTTCCATCTCCTCGCAATTCAGCCCTGACTGCGCGAGTCCAACAAGGACGACCCGTCACACCCTCAAAGTCTTCCCGTCAGCTTTTGGGTTGCGCACCAGAAGTAAACTCATATCCGCCGGCACTTTGGATACCCTGTTCTCGCAACCATCCCGTTTGGCCTTGGTGATTGACGTTTGATGAAATCTAAATACGTATATATATATATATATAGTTATATAGTTATATATATATATATACGTACAAATATGTGATACGGCAGTTCGGGAAGTCGGCTGGGCAAGAACCCAATTCCCGATGACCAATCCCGAGAAGCCTGAGCGGGTCCCGTGACTCAAAGGCGGGTTGGGGGCTAGGTCCGCATCGGGAAATAGCGTACGCCCGTGACATGTGGCCGGGCCAAAGGGACCGTTACGGCATCCCTAAAAACCACCGGGTTGGACTCTTTCGACTCCACGATTTGTCGCAACAGAGGAGAACACGAACGAACGACCTTCCGTGAAGGCTCAAGAGATCGCTTACGTATCATCCCGAATTCGCTTTGACTCAACGCACTGCAAGCCTCCATCTCGGATATTGACAGGACACAAAACTGTGTATACGTTGCCAGCAGGTTGATTTGACTAACGTTCCCGGACTGTTGATCATCATGGCGTCGTCACACGGAGATCTCTCCCATCTTTTAACGCCCACCTTCAGCCAGACGATCTCTGCTTGGCTGCAAGAGGATTGTCCTAGTTTTGACTATGGCGGCTTCGTCGTTGGGGAAGCCGAGGGTGAAGCCAGGCTTCTGGGGAAGAGTAAGGTAAGAAACAAATTTGCCTCGCTAGCGGAGATTTATTGTGGAGAAACCAAAACAAGTGCCCCTCCCCCATTTTGTACCATGTCTCAGAATCGATACGTGACGTTGTTTTATGGTATCCTACTTTAACCCAAGAGAGAAAATGAAAACAAAAGGGGGGTTGGTGAGTGGTAAAGAGAAACATTGTTGTTTTCTGCATGAAGCAACACATTTTTACCACAATAAATAGCTTTCAAGCCAATTGAATGCTGTATCGTTGCTTTGCACTAGAATTTTGGTGGTCGAATGACATGGCTGATGTTTGTTGGTCATTGGTGAACCCTTAATTTTCCTGCGGCTTGAGCAAATTGAATTGGCACCATGGTCCAAAAGCTACTATGACTGGCCAAAACATTATGGTGTATTTTTGCTTGTATTGATATTCGCTTTGTGCTCTCGCATATACCTTGAGTCTGCTTTGGCAGTTTACTGATTTGGCTTCTTCAACACTCTCTAGGGAATGGTGGCAGGAGTACCCTTTTTCAATGAAGTGTTTTCACAGCTAGGCTGCACGTATGGTAATCCTTATGAAGTTATCTCTGAAAAGCAAAAGAGACCCACCTAACCACTTCGGACTATTGTTTATCCAGTGTTGAATGGAACGTCAATGAGGGCGACAGGATCGAACCGATCACTGTCTGTGCAATTGTTCGAGGCCCAATGCGGCAAATCCTTCTGGGTGAACGAGTTGCTCTGAATATACTTGCACGGTGCTCGGGAATTGCCACGAAGTAAGTCATCCACCAGACCAAAATTATACTCTCAAACTAACCAAGCATTCCAGGACAGCAAACCTTGTCAACATTATCCGCTCCCATAACTGGAATGGAATCGTAGCCGGCACGCGAAAAACGACCCCTGGCTTCCGTCTCGTGGAGAAATATGGCATGCTCGTTGGTGGCGCGGACCCGCACCGCCACGACCTCAGCTCCATGACCATGCTCAAGGACAACCATATCTGGGCATGCCACAACAAAAGCCAGCCCCAGGGCGCAACTCATTCGACAAAATCACCGACAATTGCTCAAGCCATCCCCGCTGCTGTCGCCGCCGCACGCGCCGTTGGGGGCTTCTCCACAAAAGTCGATGTGGAATGCCGCACCATCGACGAAGCTCATGCAGCCATTGCTGCTGGTGCGAATGTAGTCATGCTCGATAACTTCTCTGCTGCGGAAGTGGCTGGGGCCGCGAAGAAGTTGAAGGATGAATGGACCGCCAAAGGGAAGCCGCGGGGCTCCTTTTTGGTTGAGGTTAGTGGTGGGTTGAACGAGCAGAATGCGGCTTCGTTTGCGGTAGAGGATGTAGATATTCTATCCACTAGCAGCATTCACCAGGGGGTGGGAATCGTCGACTTTTCGTTGAAGGTTTCGTTGAGGTAAGTTGGTGGGTTAGTAGGCTGGTAGGAAGGCCCGGCAGGTGGTGATGTATATAGAACATAGAACTCGGTTTGTTTGCGCTTCCATTTGTTTTAATCTTTTGTCACTCATGGGCTTGTCTGTGTGTCAGGAGCTCATGTTATTCGTTGCTACAATGTTTTTGAAATATGACTATGTCAGGAACAATAGATGTTGCTTGCCAATCATTGTATAGTCTGAACTGTGAAGTATTGTATATGGAACTGTACTGTTTCCAACGACGCTGAAATACTGCGGATGACAATATTTTCCAAGATTTTCGAATCGAAGCGTTGATAATGTGTGCGATAACTGATTTCGAGAAATGTTTCTTTTTCATATTTGCGACACGATAGACTTCACAAAAATTAGCTAGTAGTCAAATATTTCGATAGAAGAAGTGACAGAAATGCTATTTTAAATACATGTACAGGAGAATATAAAAACGATTTGCCTTGGTTGTATCGAAGCCCCCCTTAACAGCCACAGAAAAGCCAAAAGCAAATTCTTGAATAGGATAAGGGGATAGAATGGAAAGATTACGATGATAGAGAAAGACATATGTATCCCAGAAATAAATATAGCAAAGGAGAATTAAATTCAAGTAAAATAAATAGAACGAACGACAAGAGGGGAATACCTTTAGAAAATAGTACAGACAATGGAATGATCTGGTCAAACCAACGGCAAGAGAGGGTAGTAGACATATTAAAAGTCTAATTAAAGTGGAAAATATTCACAGGGGAAGATAGGAAAAAGGAACAAATGGAATAGAGCATGTCTTCCCTGGCCAAGACAGAGATGGAGAATAAAGGAAAAGATGCATCAGGAAAATCTTCGACATCACAAATATATATCAGTGTATATAGAGAGCTAGGACTTGGGAATAGTGTGCAGTTTTAAAAGGAATAAAGAGGAATGAATACAAATGCGGAGGTGATGGCTATGAATTATGAGCACAGGGTCAACACCCCAAAAAGAAACGAAAAAAAAAATGTCACCGGAGATAACCAGGGGTTTCGGGGAAAGGATTAATATTGAATTTGTGTGGGTGGGAGAAACCAAAAATAATCTGATGTGAAATATGGACGAATAAGGAAAATAAGGATACAGAAAACCGAGAGGTAATCTAATCGGTTGAAATGTGAGAGAGAAGGCCAAAATGGATGAACATTGTCTCGGAAGAGCTCCAAACTCGAGACCAGGTAATAGTGTTGCTCGGGCTGTTTGTTACTAGAAGTGATGATTGTTGATTGTTGATTGAAAAAGAGGGTCAAGGTTTCCAGCAGAAAATCTGCCACCACCAGGGTTTCGGGGTGCTTCCAGGCTCATTTCCGTCGTTTTCGCGGTCCTCTGATTTCATAGACTTGGCCAGGTCTTCTAGTTTTCTTTCAGATCGCGGTGGGTTATTCTCGTCATCAAATACCTTGCCAGGGACGGCTTCTTCGCGATGGACACTGAATGGCGCTATATTGCTATGGCGCTGGTTTGTGGTGTCCCGGCTTTTCATCTTCCTGACACGTTTTGAAATTGCTCTACTAATGCCTTTCCACTGGCTTGACCTATGTGAGGAGCGCTCCGTTGCTTCGTTAATAAAATTATGGTCAGCGAACCCCTTCTCCGTATCTGTGAGAGCTGGTGTTCGTAAATGTGAATCCGCGTGCGATACCACAATTAGGTCGGGAGAGAATAGGGCCTGAGATGGAGAATGCGCCGCTAGAGATAAATGACCAATTGCCTTGGGTTGTGGGGTTGGAAATTGTTGTAGGTAATGGCAATGCCGCGCTTCCACCACACGGCGAACGATTACTGGCAATAAGTTAACGTTTAGTCAATATCAGTGAGGAGAGACAAAGGATGAAATATATGTGCTCCGTTAAACGTCGCAGAACTCGAGGATTATTATTATCCCAAATTCAATGCCCATTCGCGATAGTGCAGACAGGAACAAATATGGGATAAGAGGGAACTTACAGGAAAAAGTCTCTTCTATGTTAACCATTTCCCTTGCACTCGTTTCCATAAAACCACAACCTCTTTTCCTAGCATACTCTAGGCCCTGAGTCGCACTGACTACCCGTTCGTCCTTCAAATCGCATTTATTTCCAGCCATAAACCTAACAGGCGGAGCCATTCCGACAGCAACGTTCTCTCCTTGCTGGCTGGAGTAGCCCAATTCCCGGATCAAACGCGCATTTGTTTCCAACCGCTGTTCTACTTCAATGTCAATCATATCCATGAAATAATCCAAAGCCTCCAACGTAGAGGCATTTGTAATATCATAAACCAGGAGGAACGCATCGGATTTGAGGTTCGAGGACGCCCACAGGCCACGATATTCCTCCTGGCCAGCGGTGTCTGTTAAAGCAAGTAAGTATGGCAGGCCGTCGACAATCCGAGTAACGGAGTATGAATCCTCTGGGGGTATTCATGAGCATAAAATAAGCAAACTGTCAGGAGAGCCATTGAGGGGATTTCGCGTTGTTATCGCAAGATCGTTTTGAACGCGAACCACGCTTCAGAAACAAAAGGGGCATGACGGATGATATGAATAAGGAAATTGAGGGCGTACCGATTGTAGGGTCATACCTAGATAGTGCCAACTACGATCAGCAAGCACTCTTTGAAATATATATATGTGAAGCATGATAAGCTGAGAATCAAACTTACTCATGTGTCCATTGGCTTCGCACCAATCGCAGCGTGATCGATGACTTTCCTATATCGCATAATAAAACGAAACAATTAGCAATCATCCACTAACCGGCGTAAATCGAGAAACTAATCGTAACTAATGTCTCATTCTTGCACAGATATCTTCTGGTAAAACTCAGTCACCTCAGAACTCTGGCGAATATAGCGGTTTCTCCCAGTAAATGGCTCCTCGAACGTACCACATCCACCATCACCACAGATTGTAATGGACACCGTCTCCGCCATTAGTTTGCAGAGCAGAAACAGGACAAAATTCGACCTGCGCTAGCAAACATGGAAGACGGCGTCCCCCACTATCCTCGTGTTTGTCACTATCGCAACTTGTGATATCTGCTGGTTCCCGGAGCGAGGATATGTCGAAGTCGCGTTTGATAATCGACGTACTCGATGCAGGAAGCCAATGCGACGCGACGCCAGTTCTTGCAGTGCAGAGAATAGCAGCGCAGGGAGATATCCAATTCGCCCAGATTGGAGGCGTGGACGTGCGTCTGGTGTAATCAGAGAGATAAAGGGGAACAGTTGACCCAAGTAAATAAGCCGGAGGATCGCTGGAAAGGAGAACACGCGCGCAATTGGGGGGATATATGAAGGCGCGGCGAAAACTGGTTCCAAAAGCAAGTATATAGTTAAGATAATAAACAGGACTGGATAATGGCATCACCATCACCCCCCTTTGGTCATGACTGACCCTGTTTTGCAGGTGGTTTTCCAGCAGCGAAGGTTGGTTCGGCACTGGGCTTGCAACGCTTTGCCGTTTTGGGCAAAGATAAACTGCTGCAGAGCGGGTGGGATATAGTTATTTGTATATGCAAGTATGCAGAGTATGCGGAGTGTATGGAGTTGGAGGAAGCAGATGGAGTTGATGGGGCAGATGAAGTATAGATATATCCTTTCTAATAAACATCATAAACATCATTTCACTAACCACCGTGTTGTAGGACCGTGGACGAAAAGGAGCATTGAAAATTCAAGGACGATTTTAATCTCTATTAGTGTACGGCTGGCTATTCTACCTAACTTACCTGTTGTTAAACTCTTGGACCCATCTTCTCGCCTTCGTTTCTGCATATGGAAAGCCAATGCACGGAATGTGAACCATCAAAACAAGTTGAAAATGGTGAGCTTCTTCCCGCAGGATTCGGCCTGCTGAGAGCCGAAAACATGCCTGAAACCTTGACGAACAGGAACCTTCCCTTCCTCCCCACTCCTAGGTTGGATAGATATACCAATGCTATGGTCCATGATATTGTATCAGTGTTCCACTGGAAAGCCAGTTCGATACCAACACTTAGACAACAGCTTCCCGCTCCTTAGAGGGTTCGAAGGTCATTTAGCCGCGCATGGTTATTGATTGTTATTCGTTGGCAGGGTCTATGAAATTTACCTTCAATTCCCCCCCTTTCTCCTCCTCTATGTCGGAATCAGGGGTTGATAGCTATGTGTTTAACTGCACAACCACCCAACTCCCGTCTAGGAATTTTGCCAATGAAAATTTACCACCAAGCCAGCATGCGCCCTGCAAGTGGCTGTCGCTTTGGGTAACATTTTTACTGCTCAATTCGTCCCATGCAGCACAGAATAGGAAAGGGTTAGCAAAAAAAGGGTGAGGGCTTCTGGTCTTCTCTGACTTCATCGAAATCCAAACAAGCGGGATTGTTAGCCGGCATAGTCTATCGGCACGCGCCGCGAGATGTTAAGGTAAATTAGCACTCATATTCCAATGGGTGCAGAGGGAGGGGAAAAGAAAATTGGGGAAATGGAGAGAACAGAAAGGTATTGTAGATACAAATGTTAATCCAAAAATGCATTGCACTCTGCATAGATAGTTACTCGTTTGTAGCGAGAATCTTAGCTTGGAGTTTCATATATTATTTGTGTTTTGCTCAGACGTCGTAACTGGTTTGACAGAATACAAATCGCAATTTCAATCCCGCCCTTTAGCTAAATAAATATGTCAACCAGGTTCCCCCATATCCGTAACCGCTGAATAAAATCCCAGAACAAGCTAATCGAGCTCTAGCCACCCCAAAAACCAGCGAAGTCGTGATTTATCAATTAGCACCAAAAAGAAACAAAAATCCACACACGAAAATTTAATACGCCTGCTTGGATATGTTATTCCCCAGTCATGGTCATCGTTGGGTCGATGCAGCCTGTGTCGGACAAGGCGTGTGGTCGTTCTCAGAAGACAGTTTTCTGCACATTACCCGGGTCTGTTGCTCCAAGTAAGGTTTACGTGGCGATGGGGTTATCCGGCCGTTCTTGGAGAAAAATAAAAAAGTGAATTAGCTTCTAGGCTTTGTTGCTCTCTTTGGTAAAAACCAGGGTACAAATGGCAATGTATCGTCGATGAGAACGAGAAGAGACTGACAAAAAGGGTTTATCTATAGGCACGATATAATTACCATGCCGCTAAACCACATCTAACTACGCAGATATTGCACTCACCTGCTTCGCCCACCTCAAACCACAGCTATTGCACAAATCCCGATTCCCACTTGGGCCCCTCCTCCACTCCGGTGTGGTCTTCGTATGGCACTGTGAGCAGTCCTTTTCGGGCATCTCGACGTCCCTTTTCCGCTTCCGCCTCTTTTTCAAACTCGTCAGATACTGCAGTTCCTCGACAAGGACATTGTTGCGCCTTTTCAAGTGCTCCAGCTCGGTCTGCCAATTTGTGGTGCGGGTCGGGTTTAACTCTTCGAATATGTTACAAGATTCTCGTCTTTCTCGTGTTCTTTCTTTTGTGATTTCTTGGTTCGAAAGGAATGGACTCCATTTGTTATATCTGGTTGGCATATTGGATGGGTCGGGTTTAATAACGGGATGGATCATAGGTTGAGGTCCCGTGAGAGAGGAGCAGGGGGAAGGCCTCATATATTGATTCCCATAACCATGGCCGGCGACGTCAGGGCGGCGTGGTGGGCATATATCGGGTGAAATTAGCTGGTGCATCGTTATGCCGCTGCTCGTTTTTCTCCGTGTTTTCATCGCAGGGGCCTTTGCCTGGTAGCCAAGGGTTGGTCTTCCTAGCTTAAGCAATCGAATTTGTAATATCAAAAACGCAGGTTTCGATCCCTTGTCCGTCTTTTCACCAGGATATATTGTGCTCTGGACTTGCAACAAATGGCCTCGGCGATGCTGTAATCCATGGTTACAGGAGACTTGTTTCCCACTCCGCGCAACACCCAATGCATTCTCAAACTCCGCCAATGACTCACCGCTTAGAAGATTTTGGACGCTTTCTCCAACCAAGCCTTCAGCGCGCCTATCAAGAAAGGCACCCGCACTCGACGAGACGAAAAGCAAAATTCCTGATGTTGAAATCTTGGCCCATATTTCGCCCTCATTAATACCACCATTCTCCATCACCTCGCCATGGGACATGGTGAAAACTGCCACCAGTTTCCCTAGCAGAGCTACATGCTTCTGCTTTCGTGTCGACTCCAAGTAGACGGAGCCAAGACTTTCGAACCATGTGTACCCACTGGTTTTCCTGCGAATGCGATAGAGGAGGTTAACGGCTGAGCCGGGCTCACAGTCCCTGAGTTCTCTTATAACGGTGACTATGTCGCTGGGATGGCATATCGAGGAGAGCATCGATCCAGCCAGCTCTTTAGGTTCGTATTCGAGAATCGCGGATACTGAGGGAGTGACGTATAAAAATACACCACTAGTCGATATAACGTGGAATAGAAAATCAGGGCTTCCTAAAAATACCTTTTCCCAGTAGCTTCTAAAGTGAAAAGAGCTCTGGTTTCTGGTTTCATCGACATCTGTCGTATTGCTGCTCTTGCGGTATTTGGAGGGGAAATACTCATTTTGATCTCGCCCAGTTGTGCCTCCTGGGTCGTATATATTGGGGGCAAGTTCTATTCTTCGATAGTTAACGATATATGAGCCATCTAGTAGAAGTAGTAGTAGTTATGTTAGAAATTTTGAAGAAAAAGCACAATGAAGAGGGATAGGTATAGCGTATTTTCTTAAAATACTAACCAAGGTTTCTTCCAGTAATCCCTTGAGGAGAATCCACGAGATCAATCTGAAATCCAACACTGAAATTATACTCGTCTGAGAGCCACCGTATCGGAACCACGGTGAGCAGATTCAAAAACGGTTGTCCTCCTTTTCGATAATTCACTAAGCATTCCTGAACCTCAGATCTGGCATTTATCTTAAATTTTAAGTGGCGCACCGCCCTGTCATAAGAGGCTCTGCGTTTCAATCCTGGTTCAATATTCCCCGTTGGTTCCTGAAGAAACCGACAGTCGCGTCCAAAAACTTCTTCATGTGAGTACCCGGTCAGCCGGCGAAACGCATTAGAAGCATACACTATAGGAAAATCACCGGCAGCAATTCGGCATATGACGAATGCACACGACATGTCTATTATCCCGAGATTGATTCTAGGTCCTGCTCTCATCGTTATACAGTTCTACTAGCAAGCGCCGTTAGTAACGAATCAAGATTTCCAGTCTCAGGGGAATGAGTAAAACGACCTACTAAAACGTCTATCGCATTTGGATTCCCAATTTGGCTTTCGGCTGAGTATTGGTATGCACCGTTATCTGGGAAACCTATTGGGAGAATAGAAGACTCGTCTTCGCTTTTCGAATTTAATTCCCCTCCCGGATACATGACTGATTGTTTGGTATTTCTAACAGAATTGTTAAAGTTATTTTCCATATTTGAATGCGACATCGAGTTCGGGTATTGGAATAATGACCCATCTGACTGGTTTAATTCAGAGAACTTGATGTCAGGCTGCAGGACTCTTCCTTGATGCCCATGGGAATAATGTAACTGGGTCCCAGGGTCCCCTCCGGACTTTCTCAGAGATGGCCGTGGCATTCTTTGAGACCAGTAAGGGACCCTGTTACGTTCAAGATTTCCATCCTTTCGCAATAACCTCTGATGAGATGTCTCAGTCGACGATTTTTGACCACTCGAGCTATGATTCTTGGGTTTAATTACCAAGGTTTCATTCGCGGATAAAGTAGACAATCTCCAGAAGTCTAAAGATTCAGGAAATGAATGCGTTACTGGATCGGAATATCCCAACGAATTCCAATACGTCTCTAACGAGGTAAACGTAGCGGGTGCAGATACGGTGCTCACGGACGAGCAGAAACCCGGAGAACAATTGTGAAAAGCAATGGTCTCGGTTGGATTTAATCGGCCCAGAATATTAGCAGAAAGGTTGTAAGTATCTAGATGAACTGCCGGGT